AATAGTGCTTCTACCTGCAGTTTAAAAGCAAAAACATTTGCCTATAGAGAAGATGAAAATAAAATGTGAGCAAAATAATTTTCATACTTGCAATCTAGTGCATTTAAGAGAAGTAATTTTTTAATTATTTTAGAGAAGTTACATCTTTGAAAATATTTCCACTTTATCCATATGTTCACAATGGCGTTTATAAATTTTAAGTTTAAAGCATATTAGCTAAGTTGAAATTCATTTCATGCCAAGTTCAATTTAAAATGGTAAAAACTTGCTGCTTGCAAAGTGTGGTAATATGCAGTAAAAAATGTCTTTTGTTTAATTTACTAGTGTTACATCAGGATAAAGGGACATAAACCTTGCAATGATGAGACTACTTTTCTAACCTCTTGGAAATAAAGCCATAAATCTCTATTTATTGCTGTGCATTTTAATGGATTTAATAGTTTTCTCCCACTGATGGGTGAACCATTTAATGATAACATTAGAAACACACACCATATAGGCCAATCACTGTAAATTCAAACTTACCAGGATCTGGGCCCAAGGAAGTTGTTTGACTTGATTTAAGGCCGTGTAAATGAGAATACTAAATCCAGAAGTCAACAGTTTTACATGTGTTGAAATAAAATTGGAAATGAAAATTGACATAATCGAAGCCTCACGAAGTTCGGACTTGCGTAATTATTGCTTTAAGTAACAATGTGCTCCCCTCACATGTAGTGTTTGATGGAGATAATGGGATGAATTATTAATTCTAGTTTGTGTGCTTGATTTGTGGCTAAATTCGGTAGAAGTAACAGAAAATGTATTTTAATGGGATTGATGAAGAAATTAAATTTTCTCTCCTCTAATTTACATTAATTTAGGAGTGTTCCAGGAGGAAGCAAAATCCTACTCAATTTTGGTTTTGAATAAATTTTATCTCTTTGAGCAGAGGTTAAATTTTTACAAATGATTCTCTAAATGACAATCTAGCAATTTAAATAAATTGCTTCTTAAAGAAGTTAAAATCCCTTTGGATGGGAAAAACCTGAGAACAAACGAAACTGATTACAATGAATAACATTATTTGCATGAATTGATCTTAATTTGTGAGAGAACCGAAATTCTCCTACCAATGCCACTGAAACTTTTTGATTGAAATAAACTTGATTACAATTTTATGTTTAATAATATAATTTGCATGAATTCAGGTGACTTAATTTGTGTTTTAACATTTGAACATTTTCAAATTCTCCTGGAACCAATGCCACCAAATTTGCACAAACTTTTTGATTGAAATAGAATTTTATCCCTGTTATCTAAAATTAACAATTTTACTTCTTTATCTGGACAAAGTCAAACTATTTTATTGTAAAGCATTGAGTCCTCTACTAAAATTTAATTATTGAAAAATGGGGCAAATAGTATATAGTGAAAATGCATTATTTCTTTGAAAATCTTCTACTCTGCTCCTAATATAAGTTCTACTTTATAAATCAAACAATCAGGTTATTTTGTCATGTTTGTCAAAAATTGCTGTTCTAGATTCTAGAACGTGGAAATAAGGAGATGATCCTAAGTCATGGGTTTGAATCCCACTGTGGGACGTGGAGACCGGTCCTTTGGATGAGGCTGTATAAACCGAGTGGTATTAAATAAACTAGCTGTGCATAGTTATGATGAAAGAGTGCCTCCCAAAATTGTGAATTTTCAATGGCCCTGAGGGTTCTGGTGTAGGACGGGGCAAATTAGATAGTAAATACATGTATATTGAAAATCTTCTCTGCTCCTGGGAATTAAATAAACTAAGTACTAAGTACATAGTTATGAAAACTTCTAAAATTATGAATTTTATGGCCCCAATGTTCTGGTGTTAGGGTGGGGAATTCAATAAATTGTATGAGAAATATAAATTAACACAAAATTTTCATGAATTGTGGTTATTGTCTATAAAGCACTGTATTCACAATTTTTTTTTTATGACGTAATTACAAACTAGTCCGAATAAAAAGTGATTTACAGTATATAGTGAAAATACATTAAATCTTTGAATTTTTTTTTCTCTGTCTCTAGGTATGAAGCAGATGAACTACTAATAATGATGACAAAATTTCAGAATTGTGAACAATTTTAGCTTATATTAAAATGAATTAATTGTTTGAAAGTTTGTATTTATAAAACATTTATTTATTTTTTGATAGGCAATTTTGATAGGGTGCCTTTTAAAAATCATGTCTACACATTATATCAAAATATTATGCTGAAACACACATGCGCTTGGTTGACTTTTAAGCAACTTCAAAATATGATGACAATGGTGCCTTTTTCAAAATTGTATGCCATATAGCATTTTAAAACATGAATCAAATTCAATACACTGTAAAAGTTGTTGCATAAATTTAAGGCCCGTGGGCCTCTTGTATTGTAAAGTTAGTTATTGAAAAATGGTCAAATATACATGCCAGTCAAAAAGCCACGAAGAAGCTAGCCTAGTATAAATTCTACTTTATAAATCAAACAATCAGGTTATTTTGTCATAAAAATATTCAGATTCTGCGTGGAAATGAGATGATCCTAGGTCATATAATCCCACTGTGGGACGTGGAACTATTACTTAAATATAGGCTGTATCAAAGTTTGTGTGGCAGAAGGAGCAAATATCCCTGCTCAATTACCGAATAAAGTAAAATTTGCAGCTCTCCACTAGCAAGTGGTGGCGTCTCCATATGAGTGAAAAATTCTTGAGAGGGGCGTCAAACAATGTATAATCAATCAATCAAAAATTGCCCTTTGTAGAAGTCTAATCTTTGAAAAAGCTGAAACAAAATAAGCACAAGTTAAATTGATGCAAAGCATCAAATAAGCCGCCAACAAAATCTAGCATTTCAAAAAGTACATGTACTTGCAAAATTTTATAAAAGTGTCCCTGCAAGGAAAGCACTTGTCAAGATATTCAAAGCCGAAATAGTGATCATTTTTAATTCAGACTGTCTTAAAAGCAAAATAAATAATTAGTTTTGAAAAATTTAATAAAAATCTTATTGCATTTGCTCATCATTTGGATTAATCGATGGTATTATGTCAATGATTAATGATAAGATGTCATCAAAATGAAGATATAGGCCTCTCAAGATGAACCAAGTGCTGATACCTTGGATCTTTGTCACGTGATAATATGCCTATGGTTTCTACAGAATAGGCAATGCTGCATGGTGCGCAGCAGTGCAAAATGTAGAAAATAATCCTTACAAGTGTCATTCGCAGCTGTAGCATATTCAAAACAATTTTTACTTGTTAAACAACTTTTCATTTTTTATTCACCATGCACTTTTATCACGTTGTTCTTATCCGGAAAATCATGTCGATTTCCTTTCGTATCTTACACACTCCCAGGATGGGGAGTACCTGTTGTAAACTCTTTATTTAACCATAAATTATCAATTATCTAATGAGAAATGATAATGTAAATCGAAACATAATGGCAACGATTAAAACTTAAATTAAAGCAAGTTTTAAAAATATTTTACTAATGAGTTTATGCATGTTATCATTTAAGAATTATTTTATTGAACTAATAAAAAATAACATCTCATTTCCCCATGTGCGCTGCTGTGGCCGATAATTACATTTTGAAACTATATTTTATATAATTTCTTAAAGAAACCTTTGTAAAAAAAATTAATAAATACATTTTTACAATTCCTGCATTATTTATTTGCTTAAAAAAATTGGAATGAAGAATCGCTAAAAGAGTAAGAAAGGTTGCGATTTTGACGCCATTTAGCATAATAGGAATCAACATGGAACAATTCTGCCACAGATGGTCCCCACACTCTTGGACCTGATGCCTGGAAGTCCCTGAAGTCGCACCGTATAATTCAATCATCTAATCCCACTTCATCACAAAAAAGCCCTTTTACTGGCCATGAATGGCATCACTGGTAATATGGTAAACTATTTCATTTCTGGATAAATCAAAATGTTGCACAGAGGAATTGTTGTGCAAGGCTCCTTTTGATGAAATCCCCAGTTTGTATTTGATATTAATGCATTATAAGGAAAAGGTCAAGCTGGGGTCATGGAGATGATTTAATTGCTGTTAATTGCATGTTGCAGGCTCTGTAATTGGAGCCTTTGTGTTGTTGGTATGGATGTTTGAAGTGCACAGGGAAAAAAAAGATCTTAATGTTATTGGAAACAAAAATTTATTTCTAATAGTGTCTGATAAGAATTTATCTGGTGACGTTAACCTTTGGTTTTCTCTGTTTAGTTATCATAATTAATTTACACCGTTTCGGTATAGTATTCATGCATTCATTGATTAGAAAATAAGCTTGAGTTGAAATTTTTTTTCTAATGCAAATTATCTTTTTTGTATCAAATTGGATCCCATCTGTTCCTATAAAACAGTGACTGTTGGACCATTCAGAGGTGTTATATCAGGGTGTGTTGTTTCAAAGCTGTGTAAAATTTGATTCTTAATCAAGTGGCTGTAATTTGTTGAATTTGCTCATATGGCTCCAGAATGGATAAAAGTGGCAATTTCCTAATTTGACCGTGGAAGACTTTTTTTCTCAGTAGATTGAGTAATCAGATACCATTATGTGGTAATATTCATGTTGTTTCATTATAATCAAATGATTCCATTGAAACAATGCTTGAATAATTAAAGTTTACTACAGCTGTACTTTATTTAAGACTGTATATATATATATGAGTTTCCTTTCTGGTATGAAGAACAGAACAATTTTTTTATAGTGAGACCATCTTTAAAATAAACGTTTTCTTGCTTCTTCTGACAAAAAAGTAACCCTTGCAAATATGAAGATGAAATAGTATTAACTAATGAAATGGAAAAACTTTAATGAATTAAAAAGTATTGTGCACAGGAAGTTATTAAAAAGTTTTGAGTCAGAATTGTTTTTTACTCATTAGGACAAACAAAATTTAAAGATGGACTGAGAAAAATAAATGATTTGAATGCTTGCTTTAATATATTTGTACATTTTTCTATTTTAAAGGTTCAACTTCATCTACAACTGAAATCTTAACCAGGTTGGAAGGAACTCTGTGCAGGAAGTTCATGTCTTCTGTCATGTGACTGTGTGGACTCTATTTTTAGAACATTTCAGTTTCAGTGTTAAAATCAATCATGTATTTCATCATTTTCAAACAATATGTTGTCATGTTTCAAAACTGAAGGATAGATATGTTTATTGCTGGTTTTGAAATTCATTAAAGAGATCAGTTTATGTCTTCTGCTTTATTTCAGTTGATGGAAATGCCCTCAGCGAAAGAAGATTGTATCACATCATATATACATTTCAATTTAAATGGCAGCTATGTACATTATATGTCAATTCTAGCAAGTTGAGCATATGCCTCATATTGCAGTGTGAAGTACTAATACTATCATATGGATTTGATAATCTATATATGTTGATGCTAAACTTTTCAAATGTAGCTCATATTGAGCCAAAAGAAATAACTTTTATCCTTTGAGTTAATTTCATTTATTGGATATTTGGCTTTGTTGCAAATGTTATTATTGGCCACAACATTTATGTGAGTTTCCTTAACCCTCTCGTGCTTTATCACAAGATTTAAACATTTTCAAACTTCAAATCAATTTTTTTTTATCTCTTCTGTTGTCTCTAGCTGCAAGAGACTTACCATATTATTAAAACCTAAATGAATTCACAAAACTTTTTGAATGTGATGAAAATATTTTATTTCCTTATAAGGTAGGGTTCTTCTCTAGTTTCTGACTAGGTAAACTATTCAAAGTTTATTTGCTTATACATGTATGTTATATATTTATAGGTGTAAGGGAATTAAAAGATAATATTTTTCTTTCCTCATCACAATTGTACAACTTTAGATAGGTATTGTAAACTGTGTTTGAAAATTAGGAGGGACTATATTTTCGGTGGTATGATGGCATATAAAAATATCTTCTTTCTGCCTCTCAAAATTATTATAGAAAAATGAATTTAGTTAATTTTTACACAATCAAAGGCTTGAAAAATTTTTCAAATGTATGCTAAATTAATATTAAGGTACTGTAGTTTCAAAATAAATCAAATTAATATGATTTTTCAGACAAACTAGAACTATGTTGGCTTTTAAAATCTTCCAATCTAAGTACAGATTTGAGCCCCAAAAAAACTTTAAAAAGTGTTTATCCTCTCTTGGTAAACAATCAAAAACTTCTTGTTTTTGTATCTTTATGTGACAACTTTAGTACTTTACCATACATGAAAAAAAGAAAAATGTAAATATTAAAAGCATATAAAAATTACGAAAATAACTTTTAAAAATAATGAAGAGGAGAGGAAATTGGATTTGCCAATATCCAATTTAGTTAAATTATCGATGTCAATATGTTATAACATCTTATAGGCCTTATATGGTATAAGAATCTTTTTATGTTAAAAGTTCAATCTTTTGAAATACAAGGATTGCAAGATTGGCAACAGTATTTTTTTATTCTTAATGTCCAGGGAAAGGGTAATATTATGACCTTGACCTGACCTTGCCTCTACTATAAAACTGACAAATTTAGTCTCATTGATACCATCACTTAATGATATTGTCTTCTTGATTCTGTGAAAATGTCATTAATTTTTAAATACAAGAAATATGAGAAGAATCCTACCTTAAAATATTGATCCCTTAGTGTGGCCCTGCCCTTAACCCATTTGAACAAATTTGAATCTGGTTTACTTCAGAATGCTTTCTTATAAATTGATACCTGAAATCAGCTACAGGAAGTATTTTCTTCTTTTGGCATACATTCTTATAAGAATTTTAACAAATTCTGCTTAATATTAAGACAACAATAGGTCTTCTAATAATGAGCGCAATTGGGACTCATGGGAATTCCAGTCAAGTTTCTTTCACACGATTTTGTCTAAAAGATGCTACCCATCTTTAAAATTTGGCCCGTTTCGAAAAGCATTACACAAAGGCATAGAGAACATCAACACATACAAGATTTAAAGGTCTTTATTCCGATGAGTGACATTGCGATGGTTTTAAAAATGGAAGATTATTCTCGAAAAAAAAAAATTGATACATGTTTTTGTTGTATGTGTGTCGCATGGCAGATTAGTGCGTCTGCTATAGTCACGAAGTAAGGGGTTGATCCTTGCGTCGTGGGATCCCCTTGTGTCGCATGGAGATATTGATGAACCGTATAAAAGGTCCTGTGTCGCAGTAAATAATCCCTCATTGCTACGAGTATTTTTACGAGAACTTTGTATATTTATCTCCAAAGGAAAAAATACAAATATGACTAGAAGAATTTGCAAAAATATACATATTTACAATAATTACGGACGAGTAGAAATTACAGGTGGACAGACAGTGTCAAAAATTTTGGAGATAAATATACAAAGTTCTCGTAAAAATGCTAGATCTGTACTTGTCAGCAAATTACAGAATTTTATTATATTTGGATGTACATAGTATTTCTGCAACAAAAAATCTTTTCGGATAATACATAATGCATTACATTCCAGTAAGTAGTGAAATTCATCTCCAATTCAATTATTATTGTACAGGTAACACACGCTTTCATTTCTTTCAACATTATTCCATCTACCCATCTCTATTGGAAGACGATGGTTACTTGTTCTGAATTTCGAGAAGATTAATTTCTAAATTATCTTGGTAAAATAGCTAAATTTTTTTCACATTCAAACTTTGTTTTAATATTAAATTCTATATGTAATACCTTTACTAGAATTACCGGGGTATTCATATCACTATACTATTTCTGTAAAAACTGGTCTATGAGCTTTTGGTTTAATCCATTTATATTAACACTATGAAAATTTTGATTAGTCCAAATATTACAGAGCCCCGTTGTATTAAAGATATTCTGTATGAAAGATATCCATGGATTACTAGTACTAATCCTATTTTTGGTGTATTTATTATAAAGATGTAAATTAATTCTACAGATCTTATTCCCATTTCCATGTATCAGTTTTCCCCAGAAAAATTTCATTCTTGTATAAATGCGCACATACATCGGGTAAAGCCAAATTTTAAAAAAAAAACAAACTTTGTTTTCCCTAACGCGACCGACCCAGTTAAATCGCGCCGACTGAAAAGATTTTTGAAATAAGATGATGCAAAAATTTATTTTATTGTCAACCAAATTTTATAAAATACAATTTCATCAAAATCGGTTTTTTCAATCAGAACGGCCGACATTGTTCTACTGTGATTTTCAAGCATTTGTTGGGAAAAAATGGCGCCTAGAATTCTTCACTCTTGAAACAATTTGATAATAAAATTTACCATGACTAATTTAGAGTGTTTCGGAGGTGTCTTGGCGTCTCCATGTGAGTGAATACATTTTCGAAAGGGACGGTAAACAACGAACAAACAAATCTGTCTGTTGAATTTAAGGTACGTAATACATGGAAAGGCCAGCCTCATGAGCAGATTGAGGGGACCACCTAGTGAACACATCATTCAATTTCATTGCATTTTATTTCATTTGAGTTTTGATCCAATAACCAATTCATTTATATGTTTACTATATGCCATTATGGAATCATAGGACAAAAATGCATATTCATCATCATAAACATAATTCAGTTGTCCTTTTTCATGCCTTTATTTACGGGTTTAACTTTGTGACTATGACATTGTTTATAGCATTTTTATCATTTGTAGATTCGGTTTGGTTCATTTAAATATTGTTTACATACTCTTTTCAAATAGTTCTGAAATCATAATTAAGCTTCCGGAGATGTCCAGTGTATTTTCTTTAATTAGGTCCCTGAAGATTGGTTGTTTCTTTGCTTTGAATTCTTTCGAGATTTGTTGGGACGACATTTGAACATTTCCCCATTGCAGTGGAGGATCTTTTGAGCCAGCATCTTCTGCGACACTGGACATAGGTTTTTATGGTCCCTTTTGAAGGACCGTTTTCAACGTTCCTCATCTCACTGGTATTTGAACCTGCGACTTAAAATTAGCCACTTACGTCTTAACTCCAAAGCAAAATGCCCTAGAACCACTTCAAATTTCATGGTCTTCAAAAAAGTACATTGACTGTCTATAAGCACTGAAGGCTGATTGAAGGTTTGAAAAAATATACTCGGATGTCCAGTCTTTGTGTATTTGAGAATCTTGTCATTTTTATTCGATTTATATAAATGTACTCGGGCGTAAGATCTTTCACAAGTTCAACTAAATTACAGTTGTGAATTAATTAATCATGAATTTGGCTTTTAAACGGCACATGTATGATTCTTAGCATTTTGTTCACAAATGAATTTCTTTTGTACTTTTCTTATTTATAAATGTAATTTTCCAATAAATTTTAGAATGTATTTTCAAAGCTGCTGTCAGAAAATAAAATTGTTTACCTACCTACCGACCCAACTTGAGAATTTAGGGTCAAGTTAGGGGAAACAAAGATATTTTTTATTCCTGCCTAACGTGATTCCCCGTATACCATAAAACTCGGTGAACTAGATTTTAAGTTTAATATATATTTCCAAAATCTTAATTGAAGACGTTCAATAATATCAATATTTTCAAATCCCCATATTTCAAATCCATATAACAAAACAGGAACAACAACTTTATCAAACCAGTTTTACCAGTTTATTAACATCTCTTTGGTTGTTATTTAACAACACAGAGATCAATACATATTATTATAACATATATACATACATGCGTGAGCATAACATATAACATATATACAAAGTGTGCTTATAATCAAGTATTTCCATATATGTTTACATTGATGTTAACCTGGAGGTTTGACTCTCTCGTTTAAAATTTTAATAAAAGAACAGAGTTTACTCAATAGTCCAACATTTTTTGAAGAAAACAATTCATTAAATTTGATAATATTTGGTCTTGTAAAATAATATTTCGGAATGTACAATTTCCTTTCATCTTTTAATTTTTCACAACATAAAATATAGTGGAATTCATCACCAAGATCATTTTTACATAAAAGACATATTCTATTAATTCTTTCAATACCTTCCCATCTTCCTGTTTCAATGGGTAATTTATGGTTTGCTGTTCTAAATCTAGCTAAAATTTGTTTCTTATAGATCTAGCTGGCAGTCTAGAGATAGATTATAAATGAATTTATTTAAATTAAATTATTTTTATAATGCAGTACATTTCCTTTTGTGCTTGATTACATCAGTGTTTCTGAGCCGAGTATAGGACAAAATTCTCAGCTCTCCATCGGTAAGTGGTGGTGTCTCCATTATGAGTGAAAAATTCTTGAGAGGAACATTATAAACAAAAACAAAACAAATTTTCACAGAATATGATATTGACTAATTGTATTGTAAAGACTGAGTATTAAAATTGCAGAAGTGTGTTATTCCTTCAGAATGGTACTTCTACAATTTTGGTTTAATTTTGAATCACTTAAACTTTACCATATTCCATTGATAATTTAGTTTGAATAAAAGTATTACACTAGTCATTGTTAAACTTTTCGCAATTTCACCTTCTCCAGAACTACTGGACCTATTTCAACCAAACTTATCAAAGAGTATTCTTGGGTGAAGTGTATATATGTCTTTTTTCAAGTATTTCTTACTACAGTATAGAGATATCAAGGAAATGTA